AAATGATAGCGTGTGTTTTCTTGTACTAGTCAGTGTTTCTCCCTATCACAAAAGATGAGTGGGTCGTTTTTTCAGTTGTATTATAATGTTTGGGTTGTTTATGTGTATGTCAGTTGGGGGAAAAAGGATTGTGAAAATGATAATATGTAAAGTGAGGTTTCACAAAGAATGGACTTTCCTAAACCAGTTTCATTTATTAACTTCTTTTTTAAAAAAAGACTCTCTTTAGTGTTTCTGAAGTCTTGTTTCTTAAAGCCTTAAATGTTATGTTTAAGGCTAAGTAGAAGGTGAAAGTGTTTTCTCCCAGTCATTTGCTTTATTGGTGCTAGACCCTATCAAGTGTTCATTGATATAAAAGGAGTTTGATTTTTCTTTGTGAAACATCACTGTGTGATAAAGTATATGTGTATTTAGCATCCTTGTTTTTCTTTATGCTAAAGTGGATTCAGCTGTGTTGGGGCAGAAGAGACGGGACCAGCTGCTGGCCACATTTCCTGCTTTATTTTAAAAGGTAGTATAAGAAATGAGAATAAAGAGGTAACAGGGCTTTTGCTATCTTTGGTTAAAAAAAAAAAAAGATTGAATGCTGGGATCATTTGCTGTCACCCAAGATGTTTTTTTAAAAGACAATATCCTATCAAACAGGTTTTACTCCAGTGTATGCAGAATTCCATCTGTTCAGGGTGTATTGCCAGCACAAAAGAGATTCAGTGGGATACGTGTTACCTTACGCCTCTGTGGTGGCATCAGTGGGACTGGTCAAAGTTTCAGTCTTAAATTGTGTAACCCTGCTTTAACTGATGGGTTATACCAGTGCCACAGGAATCAGAGTTAACCATCGAGACCTGTACTGACTGATAACGCAAAATGGAAATAATTGAGTTAACCTAGGCTCAATCTGCCTAGCTCAAACGTGATGAACATGGTGTATTTTGAAGTTTAACGTGCTTGATGAAAAGAGAAACACTAATGTAGCGAGTATGGGACGTTACAATGGCATTTTTACAGTTACTTCAGCGTAGAAGTGTTTTTTAAGTTAACTTAAATATGCATTCTTTCTTTTTGCATCACTGCTAACCGGTAGAGGTCAGGGACGTAGTTCTGGTCTCTGTTGTGAACCTGCACATCACTCTAGTCATGAAACTACCCACGAGCTGTGTCTGAGAGTAGGTGATTTTCTAACATGCAAAATGATGTATACCAGTACAAGAACAAGGTCAAGTCCTAAGAAAGTAAGTGGCTGCAGGCATTTCTAGTGCCTACTGAATCATATTTAAACCAAATAGAGGGGAGGAAGTTATTTGAAATTCTAACCGACTGTACTATCTGTATGGTGTATTATTAATGTAGCTTTTTGAAGTGGAAGCCTTGAAATGACATAACTTAATACTTGAAAATATATTGTAAATGTTTCTTTGTAATTATGTGCCATCCAGATAAGAATACAATATCATAATAAAATCAGACTTGTTGATCTTTCAGTTTATGGGCTCAAATGTTTTTTCATCTTTTTCTTATTAATGCTTTGCTTTGAGTGGTTTGTGCTAAAAAATGGGAAAACAGAAAGGGGGTGATGCTGTTGCTGCTGTGTGGGTGACGTTGGAAAACAAGATAAAGTGGATCAGGGTATGCAGGAGAAACGTTCTTTTCATCTGTCTTTCAAGTTAAGTTTGTGGTGAGAACAAAATGAAGGCATTATTCCTTGAACCAAAGATAAGAGTTGTACTTCTGAGAATCACCACTCCTTGTATTTTACAGTTGTTTTTCTTTCTTAATAATTTATTAATGTGCATATGTTTGATCGATGAACCATGGAGGAGTAGAATACTTACACAAACACGTCTGTGGTCTATTGGCATCTTCCTCCTTTCGGTCCCATTTTGAGGTTTGGAAGTTCAATGACTGGTTAATAATATGCCACTAAACCATAATCTTTCCACAGTAAACACTGGAGTAAGTGTAACACAAGGTTTGAGGGTGGTAAAAGGACAGAACAATTTTAAAGCTCCAGAGTGAGCCATGCGCTGTATAGTCTTTGATTTCTGTTAATCTTAAATGCTTTATTTGTAGAGAGCAGTTTAAAATAGCTTGCTGACTTTCTAGCATCCAGGCATTCTAGTGAAAGGAACATTTCACAGAAAAGATTGCGTAAAAGTGTAACGGATGCCTCCAAGCACTGTAAAAAGCATCCTGGCATGCTCTGCCTTTTTGGCCTCCAGTTGTAGAAAATGCCCCGTTCAGCACTGATGTTTGTGGTTGTTAAACTGTACCTACTGTAGAACCATGTGCGGTGAGCGTTAAACTTCCTGGCTCTGCTACCTTCATTTTCCAGTATTTCTCCACCCCACAGCCACTTGAAGACTATTTAGCATTTAAGAAACAATTTCATGCTCAGTTCTCTGCTAGTCCTTTACAGTTTAACTCCGGTGCTGTGACTCCTAGCAGTGTTACAAATTAATGTCTCTTTCCTCTGAAGAGCTTAGCAGCATCTGAGAGGGAAAACCCAAATCTGTGTTTCTGCAATCTCTAGCTGCCTGCAGAGATGATACCAAAGTAGATGCAGGGAACCATATTCCAGTGTTTGGCATTTCTTGGTACTTCCAGATGACCAGGTTTCTCATGCCACTTGTCAAAAACTAATTGGTTTTCCCTGTAAAACAGATCTTTTGCAAAACACAAAAGCCTTTCGCAAATTTACTGATTTTTTAAAACTTGTGTTCTCTAGAGCTTGGAGTTACAGAGGGTTTTTTTGCTGGAATCAACAATGCTCTGTTTCTAGGGTTGTATTTGCTATTAGGCTGTACATGTCTCAGGGATATATTAGGTACGGGAGTTGTTTGAATGGGCTTTGTGTTTAAAGAACACCCTGTGTAAAATTGTGCACTGACAGTAGCCGATTCTACCATTTTTCACCCAGTTTAAGTGGGATATGCATTTTTGGAGAAATAATTCTGCCTTCGGTCATTAGCAGGAGGATGCCGGGTGCTGTACAAGGGGGGATGAGGGTATCAATTGCAGGGGCTGTGGAATAGATTGTAACATTGAGAATCAGCATCAAAAATGGTCCATACAGAAGGTAACATGTGTGCTTTTTTTTTTAGTATTTCTGTTGATTGTTATCTACAGGCAGTCTCAGCATTCTTTTGGCAGTAGTTTGGATTTGTAGTCAAGAGCTGGTCACTATAGGTTATATGTTGGACACCTGCATTCTTCTAAGAATACAATAAAAGCTGTTGCTGTGATCCGTAATCTGCAACAGGCTTATTTCTACAAAAACGGTAGAGGAAGGGAGACAACTAAAACCTGTTCTAACTCAGATTTTCAAACAGGGAGGCAGTGTTTGCATGGAGTTTGGTGCAGTTAGTAGGAGGCCGAGAACTGGTAAAAGCTCATCCTCTGACTTCTCGTGTGCTACAAGGTACACCATACCCCCTTACAAAGGGGAGAACAGGAGTGGTTCCAGATTTCCACAAGGGCACTCCTTCTCATGCGTGTGATAGAACTTAACTGTGATGGCATCTTGGTGTCCTGCTTAATTTTGAAGCAGTTTGTCTTCATTCTTTAACTTTTGAGAACTTCCCCCCCCCCCAGTTGTTTAAGAAGTACACAGCATACAATTGAAAAGTTTCCTTTTTTATAAACACACCATCTTTCTGGCCTAAGGAGTGTACAGCTGACCCTTGACACAACAAATGCAGAACACTTAAAATAAATACATATTTGTATATTCATCAGCTATGCTAGAAACAAATATTGGTCTTAAAAACCACTGAGGAATGGGATTTTTTTCTTGTTACTTACAATCTTCACCTTTCACCCTAAGAAATTTGTACCTAAAAAAATGTGGTTTGTCCAAGTCAGATCATTAAATATCACAGCGTGCATTTTGATTACTCTGAGAAGAATTATCACTTGAGTCAATACCAAAATGAAATAGCACATGGAACGGAAGATGGTTCTGAATCTCACACTTTAAAAAGGACTACAATCTACTTTTACACTATCTATCTCATCTCAACTGTTTCTTGTCAAATGCTTGCAATAATCACTGAGCCATTCATTTTCATTCTTAAAGATACTACTGCAAAGTAATAGCTTTATATTTTGATTATCACAGGTAAGTGGTTC